GGGGATAAATTATTTTGGAAAGAAAGAGCTAGACTCCACTAGGCATGAAATAAAAATTACATTGAATGAGAAAGTGTGAGACAACTTAACCAGAGTAGTTTTTCTGTCACCTGCAGAGTGCAAATAAGAACTGTCTATGTTTCAATAAAAACACCTTTAGTCAGTACCTTGGAACTGGCTTCCTTCTTCTCAATTAGATAGAAGACAATTAAATTAGAGTCCAGCTTCGAGGAGTTCATTATGCCTCATTGAAAATGATAAATGACTCTTGGTGACCTAGTCACCTCGCCAACATGGTCCCACCTCGTCTTTCAAAGAACTAATGAAACCGATGGATCTCTCCCTCTTTAGCAGCAGGGCCAACAAAAACAGAGCGCACACCATGAAATGTGAGGAAGCGGAGAAGGAGGCGGGAGAGAAAAGAGAAGAGAAAACCCACACTTGACATTTTGACAATTGGCCAAAGTGACTTTGAAGTGCAAAAGTGAAAAAAAAATCTATCTACATATTGATTTCCTATCTGTTCCATTGCTTTAATTTACCTTTGCTTGGTGCACAACACTGAGTGTGCATGTGAATATGTGTGTGTGTGTTGGGGGATGGGGGGAGCAGATCTGCCTTCTTCTTGAAAAGAAAGGAAGAAATGGGGGAAAAAGAAGGACAAGTGGTAATGGGGGTACTTTAGAGTCGACAAAAACATTGTCTAGTACTTATTTGCTTCTAACATTACCCCGAGTCGGAGAAAGGACTTGGATTACTTTCCTTGCGTAACTGCAAAGTGATGAAGTTATCTCCAGAGCGTGGAGGCTGAAGAAGAACAGTTAGGAGCAGGAGTTTGGGATCTGAGCATGAGTTTTGGCTCCCCTCCTTTCCAGCTGCATGGCCTTAAGCCACCCACTTAACTTCTCTGAGCCTAGTTTATTTATCAGTAAAATGGGGATGATTATATTACCCCAGCTTGTTAGGAAGATTAAGTGAGATTATGCATGTTAGACACTTCATTACTGCCAAGCGCAAGAAGAGCACTCCCATTGTAGCACTTCTTATATCCCAGGAACTCCATTTAAAATACATGATCAGGACAAGGTTCGACAAGCATTTTCTGTCAAGGGCTAGGTAGCATATATTTTAGATTTTGAGAGCCATGTGGTCTCTGTTGAAACTGGTTGTCTCTGCAGTGGGAGTGTAAAAGCAGCCATAGACAATATGTAAACAAATACGCATGGCTGTGCTCCAGTATAACTTAATTTAAAAAAATCAGATGGCAGCTGGGTTTGGTCTCTTGACCCTTGGTTTTGAAGACAGAGATAGGTTACTGTAATTTCAGACTTCCTTGGTATAATAATACCTTCTGAATTGCTGACTTCTGTTGACATTGTATCTACAATTTCCTAAGTAGTTTAAAGCCTATCTTTCATTGATCTTCACAGAAATCCAATGAAGTAATAAGAACATTTATTGAGTGCTTATTGTGTTCTAAGCTTTTTGCAGGCATCATGGGAGGCCAAATAAGTTAAAGTGACTTAGGTCTTGGATTCAGATGGTTGGAAGTTGAGTCTTAGTTAGGTGATGTTGGGCAAATCACTTAACCTCTCTGTGCTTCGGTTTTCTCACCTATAGAAACCTTTATACTTGTAAAGTTCTTTGAAGCATGTCTGGCATACAATAGGTGTTCAAGAAATGTTAACCAGGGGGAACCAGCAGTTAGTGTAATGGCTATGTCGCTGCACTCCCACGTAGTTGACAGCGGTTCGTGTCCCAGACCCGGTGGCTTAGAACTCATGTACTGGGCACATGTACGTGCGTGCCCAAGATCCTGAGAGGAGAATGGAGGAGAAGGGATTGGGGCGTGGACATCCCCCCTGGGGAGTGATTTTTCGCTTTCTGTCTCTCTGTCTGGCGAGCGCGTGTGCCCTATAGCAAAAACCTCTAAAAAAAAAAAGAAAAAAAGAAATGTTAATCAGCACAATTAATTTTCAGAACTACATGAGAGAGAGTTACTATTATCTCCATTTTACAGATGAGGAAACTGAGGCATGGAAAAGAGAGGCACATTTCTCGAGGTCATCAGGAGGTTGCTCAGCCAGGGGAAGAACAAGGTCTGTGTGACTCAGACACTTTGTTCCGTTACAACTGCACATCACTGCCTCCCAAGGTTGATCATCACCTTGAGTCAATGGAGGTATTAACTAAAGATCAGATAGAAAAGGTGTTGGCATGGGTGACCAGTAAGCTAAAAAGAGTCATGACTCAAATCTAATCTTTGATTAATATTTTACTCCTTGTTCAGGACTGACTCAGTGACCAAAATCCCATGTCCTCTTTTGAAGGTCATGGATTGTACCAAGTCTACTATGACTTTTAACCTTTGTGTTAAAGCATCAAAGCCAGAAGCTATGAGCAAATTTAGGAGAGGGAAAAGGAAAAGAGGGGAGGCAGAAGGAAGAGGATGGTTTCAAATGTTTGGAGCTGAGGATTGACCCCCTTTGGTGACTGACTCTACCTCCAATCTAGGCTTGATGAAAGAATGTGGTATTTTAGTGACATCAACAGCAGACCTTCACTGATGTTTGATGTTGCAGACACTGTGGTGTGTAATTTTCATGAATCCTTTTATTTAATTCTCCCAGCAAATCCACATGAAAGGTCGTATGTTACCCTTATTGTAAGTGTGGGAAATCTGAAATTCTGAGAGCTAGATACTGTATCGCAAGTGTCATACAGTGAGCATACGGCAAAGCCAGGATTTTCGTTGTTGCTGTTGAGTTTCTTTCTTCATAAATGAAAAGGGGGGCAACTCCAACAGTGTCCTCATGCCATGATCTACCCCCCATCATCAGCCAGCCCCAAATCATGGGCACATGTGTGCCTGGTATATTCAGAGAGGTCTCCAGACATGAACCTTGAAATGTCCCACATGGTCAGCCTCATAGAGCATGGTGTTACTGCTGTGACACCATCCAGCCTAGAACCAGAATTTAAACCTGGATCAGCCTGACTTCAAAGCTTGTGCTTGGAAAATTTCACCACTGTTGCTGTTGCTGTGTCATCCCCCAGTGGCCATCGTCACCCTGACATCAGGGGTTGCTTCTTCTCTTCACCTTCCCTGTCTCCTTTCTCCCTTCAATGCTCTCTATTATGGGTGGGAGCTTCTTCTGAGTCATGTATAAATGTGATGAAAAGTCCTCTCTTTGGAGGACTTTTCTATGACTTACCTGCTTATCTAACAGTGTATCTGCTCATCTTTCATTTGTCAAGCAAATGTAGTCTTCATTATCAAGATGTGACTAAAACTTCATCCCTTATCCTTTGAACTAGATCGTAAACTAAATTTCAAGGTCCTGGAGTAGGATCTGATACCCGTAAAGCAGCTTAATAAAAATAATTAAATATAGAATGAATATCTTGAAAGGAGACTCTTAATTTGTTAAGGCTCCCAACACCACAGAGAAGAGGGGTTAACATCCCCATTGGGGAGCGGGAGAGTTGAACTGCTGACTAGTACCACTTAACTGGTAAGGACAAAGTCAGAATCTGAGGCCAGCCCTTCCTTCGTAAGACTAGCTCTTTCTACAATACCACTTGGTGAAATGACTGTTGTCTTGACAATAAGAGACATCAGACAATAGGTTGACTTCTTATTCCTGAATCGGGGTAAGGGGTCTTGACTAAGAAGTCAAGAAACCTAGACTCCTTACCCTGCTTCAGCTGAAGCCCACTTTCTTTTTTATTTTATTTTTTTCTCTTTTTGGAGAGGCTTTTGCTATGGGATGTGTGCACTCGCCAGAAAGAGAGAGAGAGAGAGAGAGAGAGAGAGAGAGAGAGAGAGTGAAATCACCCCCAGAGGGGATGGCTACACCACAGTCCCTTCTCCTCTTGGGATCTTTGGTGCACACGCACATGCGCCTGGTGTGAGTTTAAGCTACCAGGTCCAGAACTCGAACTGTGGTCAACTACATGGGAGTCCAGCAACATAGCCATTACGCTAACTGCTGGTCCTAAGTACACTTTCTTGAGATATTAGTTAAGAGATCTCTGCCCTAGTCTCAGCTTTTGCATTATAGAAAGAAAAGGATTGAATCAGATCAGCAACTCCCAGCCTATGGGGTGTGGGCATTCAGGAGGACTCTAAGAGAATTAATCAGCATTTTCTCTTGGGGAAAAAGATAACTCATTTAAAAATTTATTTCAATTTTTCTTATTTCCTCAAGAAGAACATTTCAGTTTCATTCATTCAACAAAATGCTTATTACTTTTTCCCCTAAAATTATTTATTTTATTAATTATTATTATTACTATTATTATTATTATTATTTTCTATAGGGCATGTGACTCACCAGAGCGTTAAGAGAGAGAGAGAGGGAGAGAAAGAGAGAGAATGAGCGCGACGCAAGCAAGTTGTCAGTTCTGGTACTTGAACCATGGTTGGCCATGTGGGTGTCCAGCACCTTAATCACCATGCCACCTTCTGTCCTCCAAACACATTCTAATGTGGATGAAGCAGTGAACCAGGTAGGAAAGGACTCTGCTGTTGTATAGCTTGCATTTGGGGTGACCAGATGAGAAACAAACAAGCCAATAGGTAATAATATAATAATGACAGAAGTTACGAGAAGAATGAACATACAGTGAGGTGCAGAGGAGAGGTTGGCTGAGGCATAGCATACACACAACATACAACTGAAATGAGGAGATGGAGCAACTGAGAGACCAAGATATTGGAGGTTAAAGTCATATCCACTGGGTGTGGAAATCACCAGGAACAGTCAAGGGAGGAGTGGAGAGGAAAAGCGTGAACCAAGGTTAGAATAATCAGTGAGGAAGGGGAGTGAGTTGGAATGCTGTGTGGTAGAGACAGTAGATCTGGAAATGGCTTAAACAGGGTCATGTGATTGTCATATTAGGATGAACTTCATTGCACTGGAGCTTTTCTGGGAGAGGGAGAATGAGGGAATAGAAGAGGTAAAGAGAGAAGCAAAGACATTCTTTTCCTCCTTCAGGTCTCAAAGAATTCAGAGTGTGAGATGAAAAATTGAAGACCCACTTCACAGAACTGCAGGGAAACTGGGGTTACCTGGGGTGATGAGCACAGAAATATGCTTCCAGATCCCTTTCCAAGGAAAGACTTGTTGCCCTGCCCATGGAGGTACTCCAGAAGAGCCCAAAGGCATGGAAGGTATGCTCAGCATCTCCCTCTGCCCCATCCTGACCCTAAGAGCCCAATTTTGGAAGAATCCTGCTAAGTCAGCTTAGCCAGAATCCTCTGCCCCCAAATCTGATCACCCTCTATATATGAACAGGTTCCTCATCCCCCACCATACCCTATATGACATCTGATTACCTTGGCCTGCCTTCGGCAAGAATTCTATCAGGTTACCTCATCATATTTCCTTCCTATGTTTCTCAAAGGAGCTGATCCTTAATAATATCTTGCATATTAAATTCTATTTCAGCATCTGCTGACAGGAAACCCAATCTAGGACACTTAAGGATAACTAGGATTTGGTGAAGACAAGTGGAAGAAACATCTATCATGATACTTGTTAAAGACAGTGAGGAAGACTTTATTTGATGGGGTCTACTGTAAGAATTTTTACTAGGGGAGAGAGAGATCAGGTTCATCTTTGAATATAACAAGGAAAAGTGGGAATTTATTGTCAAGGGTGGTGGAAGTGGAGTAGGAAAGGTGTTGGTAAATGGAAAGTTAACAAGAGGAAACTTTGAGGGTAAAAGATTCTGGCTAAACCAACCTAACCAAATGCTTGCAGTAGGCAGGCCAGGGTGGTCAGATATCACCTGGGGCATGGTAGAGGATGAAGAACCTGATCAGATGTGGAGAATAATCAGATTTGGGGGGGGTCGGTTAGGGTATTCTGGCTAAGCTGAATTAGTAGGACTATTCTAAAATTGGACTCTAGGGGAACATATTTAAGAATGGGGCTTAGCCGGACTCAGAGGAACCTGATTAACATTTGGTCAAGGAAAGAATCTTTGACACTCAGTCACTTTGAAAAAGATGATCAGAAATAAATTGAAAATATAGAGACATTTGCTGAAGAATATAGAGGCATTTGCTGAAGATAAGCTATTTCCACAGTGGCTTTGGAAGCAGGAGACACACTGGGAAACTGGATCCAATTAGAGGATGAGGATTCAGATGATGATGACCTTGGGTTTGAGCTTTGATGACAACACATCTGTCTGGGCATGCCAGATTTCTTTGTAAATCCTTTTCAATCAAATGTGTTGCTTTCTTTCAAGTTTATAGGTAAGCTAAGAGATTCAGATTTACAGTTTTTTTTAGCATGTCCCATGGGGGTGTGGAGAGGTGATTTGACATCTATTGTTTTGGCTTTGGCTTTTAGGATTTTAGTAATACAGGATTCTCGTTTAACATTCAGTTTCGCTCATTTAATTCTCATGACAACCTTATGAAGTAGATAATATTATTGCCATTATATAGATGAGGAAACGGAGGTTGCCTGAAGTACAGTAACTAGCTCATGGTCATGTAATTTTTACATTTGGAATTCAAGCTCATTTTAACTCCAGAACCAAGATGTTCTGTGTCTTCTCATCACAGTGGTACCTTTTTTCTTTTCTTTTCTTTTTTTTTTTTTCTAGTGATGGTTCTCATTTCAATATTTATCCCCATTAAAACTCTTGTACTTTTCAGACCACTCATTCTGATTTTGGGGTGGCCATTGTTATAAAACCCAACGTTAGTAAATCATAAAGGTTATCATGTGACTCTTCTGGTGCTCTCCCGGCCTGGCTTTGAGAACTTTCTCCCTTTGATGAGAACTTTCTTGTAATCAAGCTTGTGATTAGGGACAGGGGTAAGTTATTTTTTAGTTGTTTTGTGTACTATTTCCTACAGAAATTTTCTGGTGTAGAATATCTTTGCAGCCAGATTTTAGAAAGAGGTGATGTTAGCTTGACTTAAAGTGCATGCGGTCTGTTTTCTGTCTAAACGTCAACACCATAACCTATGACATTGAAATAAAAGAAAAAGTTTAAATTAAAAAATATATATATTTCCTCTGATCCTTTGACCTGGAAAAGTTCACTGCTTTCCGATTATAGTATTGAGGCTGCTAGTGCTTGCCTGTAAATTAATATAAAATGTTTGTACTTGCAGTAGTCTTTAAGGATCCTCTGGCCAAAAGGATGCCATTGCCTGACTGTTTTACATATATCCAGACCAATTTACCTTTTAACTTGAGCATAATCAATTTTTCCTATGTCAGCAAGGCAGGCTTAAATGCCTAAATTAACTCAAGTCCCTGTCGTCAATATCTATTTTTAGTGAGATTTAGTTGTTGGGGGAAAATGAACTGTTTGAGACTTGCTCTGATCTGGAAAAAGAAGACAGCAGCTTAGGTTGCTTTAACACCATCTCTCAAAAATATTCTTTTTTTTTTTTTAAAGAATTATTTATTTAATTTTATTTATTTATTCATTTACTTTAATTTGACCAGAGAAAGATTTACAGAGAGAAAGAGAGGGAGGGAGGGAGGGAAATTGAGAAAGCAAGCCACCAGGTCTGGGACTCAAACCATGGTTGGCCGTGTGGGAGTGTCGAGTGCCTTAACCACCACACCATCTACTGGTCCCTCAAAAATATTCTTGAAACATGTCTGGTGGACTAGGACTGCTAGTAGAAAGGTTTATCTTGGGGAAAAATGCGACCCAGAAAGTTTTCTCTGATTCAGAACTTCTCCAGTCATCCAGGAAGGAGTTCAGGGAGAGCAGATTGGGGAAGGGAGTTGAAGGTCACTCTTCCCTTCTTGAGCTCCTCTCCTTGGACATATTTTGGGAGCACAGGAAACCCATCCTGCAGGATGGATCCAGGCCCAGCAGAGGGGAGTTCACACATACCCGGAGTACATGAAAGCTGTGTTTGATTCTGGATCATGCCTGTGTTGTCGGCCCCAGTGGCATTATTCATTTAGTGCCATTCCATACTTCGCAGGAAAAGCACAGCAGGCTTATAATGCTTGAGTTTTTAAACATTCAGAAGGCTGTGATGCTATAAATAAGCTTCCTGTGTCAGAGATTAAATCAACCAAGATGCCTGCCATGCCAACTTTATTTCTGAAACAACGTGTTTTCAATAGAAATCAAAATACATGTTAATCCTTCCCTTCTGACAAGCTAATACCAGCCTTGAAAACCATAGTGGAGAGCTACCGAGAGGGCCTTAAGTAGCAGAATCTGCATCTGTGTGGCTTATCTGTTGGAAAAGGCCACAGCCAGCCCTCAATATGGAAGTCTTTTGCCTAGATATGAGGCATGGTTCAAGACTGGGTTGGGCCGTTTTCCTCAGAAAACACTGGACTATTGCATTTTAGATAAATCAACACAAAGGCTGTGCCTTTGAGATACTAATGACTGGTAAGCAACCAGCTGTGGCAGTTCAACATCCATTCCCTTTAGTTTTGATAAGAATTCTCTGATTTCCCCTGAGAAACTATCCTTCACCCACTCTTAATCTGGGTGGTTCTCTGTGGGTATCTCCAAGCCCTAGCTTGAAAGGTGGGCCTGAGGTGGGGGACCAGCAGTTAGCGTAATGGCTATGTTGCTGGACTCCCATGTAGTCACCTTGAGTCCGGACCCAGCGGCTTAAACTCACGCTGGGCATGTGTGTGTGTGCGTGGCCAAGATCCTGAGAGGAGAATGGAGGACTGGAGCAAATCTTGGGCTTTGGCTGGAACTGTTGGAAAAAGGAACTCTTGTTTTAGCTGGGATTACTGACTTGCAGCTTCCCAACTTCATTCTTGCCACCTGATCATTTGAGATTGAAGACAACCCAGAATAAAGCAGAGTTGAAAGATGGAGACAGATTTCTGATGATATTGTTTAAGCACCTGGATACAGCCCTGCTTGGAATTAGATGCACGCCTGGATTTGTTTAAATGAACAAGTTCATGAGTGAGTTGGCTTTCTGTCACTTGGCATTGATATAGTCCTGATTAATTCAGTGGTCCTGCTGGTTAATTTAGCGAAACTGGTCAATTCAGTGACAAATGCATTAACGAATTTATCAACAGGTTGTGACACTAAATTTATTCTAACTTAGTGAGATCGACTGGTGAGGCAGATTTGGTTCCAGTGGATCTAGTCAGACATAGGACTCCCAGCAGGGACGAAGAGGAGGCCTTGAAAAACTGAATATGGAATCTGGTAAGCAAGTGCTGAGGAGCTTTAGCTGGGGGCCTACTGTCTTGGTGGGAGAATACCAACAGGCTGATAAATTCATTAATGCATTTGTCACTGAATTGACCAGTTCGACTGAATTAACCAGCAGGACCACTGAATTAATCAGGACTATATCAATGCCAAGTGACAGAAAGCCAACTCACTCATGAACTTGTTCATGTAAACAAATCCAGGCGTGCATCTAATTCCAAGCAGGGTTGTATCCAGATGTTCAAACAATATCATCAGAAATCTGTCTCCATCTTTCAACTCTACTTTATTCTGGGTTGTCTTCAATCTCAAATGATCAGGTGGCAAGAATGAAGTTGGGAAGCTGCAAGTCAGTAATCCCAGCTAAAACAAGAGTTCCTTTTTCCAACAGTTCCAGCCAAAGCCCAAGATTTGCTCCAGTTAGCTCATCTTGATCATTGGCTCACCTGTGAACCAACTGCGAGGCCATGGAAGGATATAAACAGCTCTGATTGGTTAGCCCCAGGCCCACCTTTCTTTTTCCAACAGTTCCAGCCAAAGCCCAAGATTTGCTCCAGTTAGCTCATCTTGATCATTGGCTCACCTATGAACCAACTACTAAGGCCATGGAAGGAGATGAACAGAATCCCTACCTCTAGGAAGAAGGAAACTCCAACCAGGGGTCCTTAGTCTTTGGTAGTACCTTAGAGGATGTGATAAGATTTTACTCCTTTTCCTGAGAAAGATTCACATGTATTCTTTCCTGCAGTTTTCTTTGTACTTTTGGGTGCCTCATAGAACCACAGAAATCCAGTCATGGATTTCTGGGAGTTTCATATCACACAGTAAGAACCTGGGCAGGAAATTTATTTTTCACAAGATCTCTTGTAAATGATACATATTTGCTGGAAAAATATTTGAGAACTTACCATGTTCAAGGCATTATACTTCACATGTAATATTTACTTATATTTTTAAATGATGCTATGTTATAGATATTATTAT